CCCAGCTCCGCTGCCCTTCTCTAGACATGCTCCAGCCCCTCCAGGTCCTTCGGGGAGGGAGGGGCCCAACCCTGACCCCAGCAGTTGAGGGGCGGCCCCCCCAGTGCCCAGCACAGGGGCACAGTCCCTGCCCTGCTCCAGCTGGCCACACCACTCCTGGTACAAGCCAGGATGCTCTTGGCCACCTCCAGAGACCAAAACATCTTTTGATTTTGACCTTGTAACTGCAGTGAAATACCACAGAAGAGCTAACCAGGCATCTTTCAGGGTTTCATTGCCTACATCCTACCTGTCTGTCCTCAGTCACCAGGTCAGCAAGTAGGGTAAGACTGATGGTGTGGTCAAAAATCCCCTCCCAGCAAATCAGGGTCGATGGAGTGGAGCAGAGCATCTATGTTTGGCCTTGGCTTGATGTGTTGGAGCTTGACGTCGCTGCAGTCATAGCTTTGTGGGCGGCATGGTGTTAGCCATATTACTTGCTCAGCAGAGTACTAAGTGTGGTAGAAATCAAAATTCTATGTCTAGTGCTATGGCAAGTTCAAAACTGCAAATTCTCGCGCCAGTGAATACAGCTGCCGTGGCGGGCTTTCTGATGGCATGGGATAGAGAGCCATGTAGATCCCTCACCTTCCTAATTAAACTCCATGCGGGAACAGTTTCCCTACTGTAAAAATGAGAAAATGTGATTATTTGTTGCTGGGAAACATGGTTTTTCATGACTGGGACAAGAACTAAGTGTGTAACCCAGCTGGAGTATTTAAAGAGGAACTGAAAGTATTTGGGTTTTGAGTTTTTAACCTTCACTTTTTGCTAATTTTGTAATCTCCATAAAAGATTATTTCAGTGGTTTCAGCTAAAAAGCTATCTCTGCTGACTGTAAACATTCCTTCCCGTTATCTTCACATGAGTCTTTTCAAGAGATCCAAACGATTCTGAGAAATAAGATCATGTACTGTGAAAGGTGCTTCCGCGTCATCCTCCCATGCCAACCACTGGAGACCGATCTTCTGTCCCCATCGCACCGCTGGTCACCAAAATGTCGGGCGCAATCGGCAGCTGGCACAGCAGAAAGCCGGGATAAAGGGTTAGAGTCAATTGGAGAATGAGGAAAGGACAGGTTACGCTGAGATTTTATAAATCGATGGTTCTCAGAGGAACTTTGTGTGATGGGCTTCATCCTAGAGGACT